TTAAAGATTACAAGTTTTTTTTGTCTACATAGAAGAAAGTACTGAGTTTTGTGACTGTAATTTTATTTAAAGTTTTTAACTTAATATATATATTGGATAAATTTATTTCATTAATCTAACATGTTATTAACCTTTCTTTTTCTATCATTAAAAAAATTTTATTTTTCGCGATCGATCAGACCTCACATTGCGCAACATCAACAAAACGTGACGTTAGCCAAATGTGCGTTATTTGATTCGCCTAACCGCAAAATGTCAATTACTTATCCTTATTGTTTCCTACTAACATTTGCCGAAACGATAGGACAGAATGATATGGAGAGCTTTTGAAAAAACAAGGAATGAATAATACCAACGTGACCATTCACGATATTTTATCAGGTGAGTCGAACGAAGGATTTCCGGAGCAATGACATTCGTGATTGGCACGATGTATTTTAGGACGCCAAGCGATCTCCTTGTCCATACACGTCATCGGTGGCATTATAATCGCGATTATAATTTGCACTTGCTGCTGCACCCTGTTTGTGAGAAATAAGTGTGCGAGGATCATTGATAAACTGACAGGAAGACGGAAAAAGGAGTCAGTATATAAAAAAACTATTATTTATATGATGCAATTCTCAGCAGGTTCCGAGATTTAATAAAATATAAAAAACGACTGATCAGAGTGTAAAAATCCATTTAGAAAGTATTTCCCTCCCGACATCGAGGAAGGACGAAAGAAGTTGCGGAAAAAGAAGAAAAGACCCGTGTCGCCGGACTTGATACAGACGACGGAAGTTACCGCGCCGATTATCCCAAAGGAACCAGTAAGGGCGGAGAGATTGGAGACCCCGTCACCGACTCCCTGCTACAAATGTTACAGAAAAAAGAAAAAGGGACGAAGAACGAGGCAGATACGATGATATCTCGGAGAAGGTTAATCCATAAGTAAACGAGGCAACGAAAATGAGACATCTTTTTGAATTGAAAAGAAATAAAAGCACATGCTATAACAGAATAATCTTTTGTTTTTATCTGCGCGATTCTTTCTCTTTCTGTAACGTCTTGTTTCAAGAAAAATGCGGGCGATCGTTATTTATGTCGTAATTATCGCGATAATTTTTGTCTTAAGAATCCACGGTACGATAGATGTGAATTTAAGCGAATTGGAGTATCTCGCAGCTCGACTGAGCCTGGTCGAATGTAGGCGATTAATCGCCGCGCTTCATTATACGACTTATGACTTGCCGAGCAGCTTGGCCGAGGCAGGTCAGCTCTTCTTTCCGTGGTTCTACATGGAAAGAACGATTTTGGTGAAGTATCTAAAAATTTAGGTAGATAAAAATCGGAAAATAATTTTGTCAGACCATCCAAATAATTAATGTACTCTCTAAAACTTTTACAGTAAATCTCACTGAAGAGTGAAATCTCACTCAAAGATTAAAAGTTGAGTCACTCTTTTTCAAGACTAATTCAATTTTCACTCTTTACAGTAAGATTTTAAAAAATTCAGAGAGTAGGAAACTCAAGCGTGATAAGCAACGCTGCAAAAGTTTTGACATATTTCTAGCAATCTGTATCTCGAGTGTTCCACATAATTATTTTAATAATCCAACAAAATTATTTTTAAATCTGTAGGTAAATTTTAGATCTTCAGCAAAATCGTTCTTTCTGTGTAATCTTGCATACATCGCAAGAATTTTATTAATAGCTTTATTTACCCTTCGAATGATTTAATTAACATTCAATCATTCCCGCGAATAAAAGAGCGTAAGGTGGACGAGGAGATCCCGTGTCTGCGTCTACTCCTTCATTGGAATAGTTCTCCCGAGGAGGGCCGGGGAAAGACGCACGCGGCGATTGTACACCGACTTCGACAGCTAAATCGCAACGATCTCGCTGATTGGCTTGGCAAAACCACCTTCAAACAACTGGGAAAGGATCTGGACAATGCTATTACGTTGTCCTTCGACGAGCTCGCTGAGGAAGAAATGGAAACCAGCACGTCGGCATTCCACATTGCTAATTATACTCAGAGCTGTGCAAAACACGATCAAAATATCCTTTACAGAATGCAAAATAGCCATAAAATATATCTTATCTGTAAAGTATAAAGCGGCGAAGAGAAAGTATATCTAAACATTGAAATTAAATAATGAGAATTACAAATTGTTATAATAATAAGTACTAAAAATTCTTATTTAAATCAAATACAATACGAAAAGTTTTTATATTTACTATTTCTTCAAAATATTCATAAATTAATTAAAGATTCATGTATTTTAGATAAAGTATGTTGCACAGCTCTGATTATAATTCGACTATTTTACTTAACTTCTATATTGTTTCTTTTAATATAAAATATAATTTTGTTTAAATAATACATCAAGTATTCATTACGTTTGCAGCTTAATTACAACAACATCTATTACGTGGATTCAAGAGGAAAATCCGTGGTTAACAATCGATACAATTCTTATGGCTGTACTGCTTGGATTGCTAGGAACGCTATTTGTTTTAATTGTGGCCATTATCATACATACCGTCAAGAGTAATAAAAATTAAACATAATGTTCTTCCTTTCTATTTAAGTTTAAGTGAAGTTTCTAAAATATAAATATCCACATGTTAAAGAATAAATTAATAATAATAAAAACGTTTTTCTTTATTCTCACTTTGTTAAGCTCATTTTTTGTTAATGTAAATAAAAGTGCATTACAAAATTAGAAAATCTCAATATTTTATCATGTTATTTAAGAAAAAGAGGAAAGCAATCTTGATATTTTCGAAAAAAAATGTGCGGTGAATATAGAATTGCTTTTATTACAATATAAATCTCTTAAAACGAAACATTTTTCTTTTTAATAATTTAAGGCATTTAGGAAAGAAGTTATAATATATGGGTGAGCAACTTAATTACCCTGTATTCTTGTGTAAAATTTTTTAAATACAACACGAATGTATACATGAAAAATGTCGCATTATAATAAAACTGTGCCATGTAAATCTTTCATGATAGGACCGTTTCCATAAATATTAAAGCCACCTTAAGTTTAACTGTATAGTTTTTTTAGAAAGTGAGAAACACGATTAAAATCTTAGTCATCTTTAGCTAATTGCATGGTTATGGAAATGATTCATACGCACAAATACAGAAAATTATGTGAATGCGATATTTAATCGTAATAATACGCTATTCAATAATAATATCAATAATAGTAAAATACAAACGTGTGGCGTGTGAAACAATGAACATGGCAACTACCATCACAATGACAGTGACAATGATAATGATAACAACGATATGATAATAGCGCGCATGATGACAACTGTTACACATATATTAATAATTGCGATAATCGACTGTAAACTTTCTTACGACTTATGACTTCGAGACGTAAAATTGCGACTGAACAATTAATCTATCTAATAGTAACATGCATTTATATATGAACGTTATAATAGTTACGAAACTAATAAATCAGCTGCATTTGATTTGTCGCAAATGTACAGTTAACAAATTTTAACGTAATTGCTATCTGTTAGCTTGATTAGTCTGTTTAGGTCTACCATACCACTATTATGCTTCGTCTTTATGCAAAATTACTTACGTAACAATTAATAATCTTTGAAACAGAAATGGGTAAAGTGTAATGAATCTGTTGGTAATCATCAAATGTAATTTAATTAATTTTACATTTGTTAATTACGTTTGTAATTGGCCACCAAACTGTTATTACTTAAATTATGTGTACAGCTTGCAGCTAAAAATAAAACTGATGATTGGAAAAGATTATAAATGTAGTTATTGCGATTGGTTAATACCAATTGGCGAATAAAGTGTTTGTCATTTAGATAATTCGCGGACGGAGAAATGCGAATGAAACGCATATGTTGCAACAGATGATATCACTACAACGAGAAACATTAAATTAATGTGTTATTAATTTAATATAGTAACAATAATAATAATAATGTAATAATATAACAGTAATAATAATAATCTTTCACAAAAAGAGATTTTAAAATAATAGAATATTATTTGAAATAAAATATTAAAAGATAATATCTCTAACCATGTAACAATGGTATTCTATATAGGAATGATAGTTGTATAGTTATAGTAGTAGGAATAATAGTAGGAGTGATGATTGCAGTAGTAATAGTGTAGCAATATAGTAACAGAATAGTATTAGTAATAGGAATAAAAGTAATAGTAATAATAGTAGTAGTAGTTGTAACTAGCGTGATAATATTTTGCACTAAAAGTCGGCAATGTTGATAAAAGAATAAATTAATCGATATTTAATCGACAGAAAAACTCACGATGTGAATTTGCACAACCGTCATTTTCGGTGTATTTGATGTGCCATACGATATAAATATTTTCTGGATATGTTCTCTTTCTCTCTCTCTCTCTCTCACTCTCTCACTCTGTCTCTTTCTCTCTCGATATATATTCTATATGTACAGCGAGATGCACGTTCTACCTGAACACGTCATTACTTAGATATTTGGAGAAGTACATTATCTTTTTCAGCCCTAGATAAGAAAATAGACTAATAAGAATTTTGTTGCCTGCTTCATTTTACATCACTCATTCTTGAGTTAAAAGGGAATGAGAATTGAGCTGTTTTTTTAAATAACGAGCTAAACTTTTTATAAATTCAACTACGTAAGAAAAATATAATGTCTAAAATACGTTGTCCCACAAATCATTTTAGACAAATATAATTATAATGGAATCTTAGGGGTTTGGCTGTTAAGATATTTCTCTAGCGTAGTAGATAGAAATTAAGTTATAAAAATAATGGCTTTCTATGAAACTTCTTCTAAGGACATCTCGACTCCTCGAGAAATCTCTCTTTGAAAAGGATTATGCGCTAGATCGGAAACGTCCCATGTATTACGTATCTAAAAACGCGTATTCTTTCTATTTTTCTCTTTTTCTTGTCCTTTCTTCATTCATTTCGCTATATTTCGTTATGTTTATCTTATTTTTCTCTTTCTATTTGTTTTCCCTTCTTCCTATTCTTGCGTTTCTTTTATTGCATCCCGGCGGACTCATCGTTTTGTTGCACGGATTTTTCAAAACGTACGACGATCTACGAAGATCCATGGCGAGTAATGAGCAAATCGTCGCGGATTGCTGTCTCTACGAAAGGCACTAATATGATAGTTTATCACAGAGTCTGTGCGTGTATGTGTGCGCGTGTATGTGTGCGTGGTTGTGTGCATGTACAGTGTCCCGACACTTGTCGTGTAGATCGAATTTTCTTAGATCCTGCGTTCTAGATCTTCGTGGAGAAGACTGTTGTTGTTGGTCTCGTGAATCGACGCGGGGGATGATTCGTCCGGTTGTTCGCCCCCGCTTAATTCTAGTTGGCCGGTACTGTCACCGCTGCTAGAACCGCATTCGCCATCGACAAATCTGAAAAAGAACATTTTTTTTAATATACATATAGAATGTTTCATTTTGATTACACATTTCATGTGTTTCAATGATTTCGTCTATTTTAGAAAGATATTTTAAGTAAAAGTTTCAAGAAATAATAGTTTTTTTTTAAAGAAAAAAATGATGCGTACAGTAAATTTTCTATATCACTCATCTTTTAAATAAAATACATCATTATAATATTTTGTCAAACCATAATATTATTTTTTATACTTGTATAGCACACTTTTATTCTACATGTAAAAATATTTTAGATTGTAAAAGATTAATAGATAATTTGGAGAATAGTTTAGATTTTATATTAACATTTCTGTAACACATTTAAAATATAAAATCCCATAAAAAATATTTTTTTTTCCGATCTTATTTTAATGCTTTTAATATATTATATAAAATATTTATCTACACCGTGAAAAAAAATCTAAATTTCAATTAATATTTATTTGAATACAGCACCAATTAAATGTTCATTAAATATAAAAATATATTTATTTGATATAAAAGGCATTAGTTTGATTTAACAATCACTTCTTTTTATTAAGTAAATATTTATTTATTGTAAGTAAATATTTAGTTGGTAGTATTCAAATAAATATTTATTTAAATTTAGGCTATTTTTTTCTCAGTGTAAATATTCATTCTTCTATTTTTTTTTCTCTTTATTTAGTTCTTCACATATGAATTGTTTAATTTTAATATAGCGGATAATTATTTCACGCTATGTTGCGATTTAACAAAACACTAGGTTAGAACAATACTCACGTGTACGGTTGTTCTTCGCCGCGCATCTCGCATATGACATTCGTCAGTGCTATTATATAATTTTTAGCCAACGTGAGCGTTTCTATCTTGCTGAGCTTCCTCTCCATTTTTACGTGTGGTATTACCTCGCGTAATTGCTGTAAATTACAACCGGGAGAAGTGGATTGAAAGTCTATCTATTACATCGAGTCGCATTCGTGATAAATAACGACTTGCAATCTAATCAAATATGGTCGAAAGTTGATACATTTTTAACGATGCTACGCATGATCAGTCAATAAAAGAATTATTTATCGGATAGAGCTGCAGTTGCAAGTTGTCATTTATCTTCCACATAAATCAATTTTTTACATATCGTTATCGTTTGCGTTATTTTTGTCGTTTAATGCCTATCGACACCATTTCGCGTAGTAATAAGTAATGATCGTAATATAACCGAGTTAAATAAACAAATCGTCTTTTTTTAGCATGAGAAGCAAATATTAGTAAAAAATTATAGTATTTTTAACTACAATATCTTTCAAATATTTTATCGCCAAAGTATATTTTAAATAAAAGAAAGAATCCTATTTTCAATCGAAGCAGATTTTTGTGTTTGATAATAATAAATAATAATAATAATAATTTCTTTATCTTATTTGATTTTATTGATCTAATTTTCACTTATAAGTGTTTAAAATATATGGCATTTCCGTTGCTCAGCAATCCGTGCAGAATGACGTGTTTATGGGATAAAAATCGATTATACTTCGATTATTTTCACTCTTATTGTTCGTGATTTAATGTTCCGTAGCGAAAGTTTCTCGTTCTTCGAAAGTTTTTAGCAAAGTTCGTCGCGCTCGTCGACGCGACGACGAAGCGAAAGCTGCCTGAGGAAGCAATAAACTGTTACCTCAAAGGCATCGTTGAGGGAGTGCATTCTCATTCTCTCTCTCTCGTTACTCTCGAGCCTCCTCAGGTTCCTCTCGCGCGCGGAAATTCCGCTTTTCCGTCTCCTCGTGGTCGGCGGCGCACTGCCGCGATTTCTTCTCTTCGCCTGCTTCGGACTCCTCTCGCTTCCGCTGCTGTCGCTCTCCTCGCCCACCTGTTTTTCGTTCGGTTCATAACAGAATAGATCTTCGTCAAATATTTGCTCTTGCTTGGTGTTTCATAGCCCAACGCGATGAAGATACGAACGAATCTCCATTTGAAAACTTCCCACAAAGAAACAATTTACATTCGAAAATTGTGCTAATGTAATAATATTTGCGACTCTCAATCCATTCAATGAACACAGAGCGTTTACAAATATCTTGTACGGTCGTTTTATTATCTTTAATTGTGTTTTATGTATGACATGGTAATATAAATATTTTGTTATGATGTAAAATTTTATGATGTAAATTATATAGAGAATATGATTAATTTTTTAAATTTACTCTAAATTCACTGTTAATTTAATATTTATTTTGAATTAATTTTATAAGAAAAATGATTATCTTACTGTATTTTAAAGAACTTGTTATTCACAGGTGCGTCCAAATATAATCGACACAAGCAAAAGTGATTATTTTAATGCGTGATAACGTCTTACATAATAGTATTTTCTAATCTAATCTAACCGAAGATCTTACCGTGCTATTTTCATCAACAAAAGAACTTATTTAACCTCTTTACCCCCTTGTCCCTCCTTTTAACAATGCGTTTCGAGGATATTTGTCTGAGCGATAAATGCTCATAGATAAAATGTTTGCAATTTCCTTCGGTGCTGCATAATGCTGATAAAAAAAATAATTTACTCAATTTGGATAACTGATAATGAGCGACATTTGTTCCACGTATTACATCCAACGGTTTTTGCTTTTAAAACTAATTTATTGCCTACTCATCGAATTCGGTCAAAGTCAACTAATTTTGTTTATGTATCGCATTGCACTGAACATTGTATTCGTGTCTCATTGCGAATTATCTATTTCGTCGTGCTACAAATCAAGAAGCGTCGGAAAAGCCTGTGTCTTATCAAATCGGCACGATAATAAAGAATTATGTGGGTCGAGTATCTTTTCTTATTCGGTGTAAATGCTTACGGAACTTTAAAAGCCTGGGCCGAGATAACGCGCGTCACAGAGAGCGATAAAAAAAGGGAAACGAGAGAGAGAGAGAGAGAGAGAAAAGAATAGGTGAAATACCTCCGCGACATGGTGGCGAGTACGTTTGCCGGTAAGCGAGTCAACGGAGGCGTCGTCCAGGTCGATGTACATTTCCCGATCACCGCAGTCTTGGTCGCTACCCGATAGCCTATCCAGGCTTCGCATTATTCCGATCAAAATCACAGCTCGATCCCTCTGTAACAGACCGCATTATCTTCAAAAATGCGTAAGTGCTAGAAAAATACTAGAAAAGAAAGCAGGAAACGCTCTTCTTACGCAAATATCGTTGCAGCTCTTCCTATCTTTTTCATAATTATAAACGGTAAAAAGTAAACACACGCTTGTAATAAATGATGAGTGGAAAGAAATAATTAAAAGTTATATCTTTAATTAAGTTCTTATGATGTTGTAGCTATGTATAAAAAATATTATATAACGATTAAATTATATCACATTTAAAGTGTCTGCTATAAATATAGATATGTTTATGCAAGATAAAATAATGATGTTATTTAAGATTTCGAAAAAGAAATAATTATATATTATTATACACTTTATATGATTTATAATAAACTACATCTTACGGGATGCATATAATGCAATAATTTACGTTACGATTCATTGCAGAGAAAAAGTTTTAGAATCATCTATCAAGATTAAACGTCATTATCGACGCTGACGCTAATGTCTCGTTCGACGATTCTGAAATACCCGACTATCAGACTATAAATCACGATGCTGCTTCTTTAAAACATTGGCTCTGTTAATGCGAGTAAAGCAAGATGGGAAGAGAGAGAGAGAGAGAGAGAGAGAGAGAGAGAAAGAGGTCAACACGAGCACGTGTGGGTGATGATATTATCAAATCGGGGTATCCCCTTTTTCCTGCTTTGCTCTTCAATGCCAAGAATTGCCGCTCGCGGCCGCGTGTGCACATGTCAGATTGGACCAATCCGGCTGTCAGAATCGAGATCGGTGATTCGAGGTGGATGCGAAACACGACTTCTCCATGGCTCTTACTTTCTCCCGCTATCAAGCGCTCATGCGATTGCTCTTATGATATTATGATTTCGTCAAACCTTGATGCGTAAACGCACGAACAGTAATACAGTCAGCTCGGGCTGTCTATGAGATTGAGCAATACAGTGGAGTTGCATAATGCACGATATTATCGGGAATAATTAACTTTCGATTTTTCAAACCTCCTGATGTTTCTCGAAGGAATTCGTATGCAACGCCGAATTTTCCGTAGATTCCTTCATTTTAAATTAAACACTGAAAAAAGAGTCTAATAGCTGTCAATCGTTGAGCAAAATAATTTCAATGTTCCATTAATGTAATCGAAAATAATTTTATACTTTTCTAAATATTTAATAATTATTACTAAATTACGATTAGTTTGGTATTATATATTATTATGTTTGGTAATACTTATTAAATATTTAGAAGAGTATAATTATGTTTAATCATATTAATATTTAGTTATACGAATGTTTGATTGAAATTATTTTACTTAACATTTGATAGCTATTTCCAGACTCTTTTTTCAATATACGTTAAAAAAGGTAGTTTTTCTCGTATTAATATTTTCCGAAAATAAAAAGTTACAAAATTACATTAACTTATTAATTATATCAATATATTTCCTTGTATAAATTCCTTGATTAATATTTCGATACAGTTTATTTTATTCACTCGATATCTTTCACATCGAATTAATACAAAGTTTATGCGAAGTTTTCCACAACATGTAGTTACGACACATTATTCATTTAGGAACATATTAGCTTAATGCGATTATAATTAACCGCCGAGTGGATACGTCGGTAGCGAAAATTTGCAGCCCCACGCACATTCGATTCGTAAACGCATGCTTGTATTATGTTAACGCACGCAATATTGCCAGCAAGCATGACAAATCGACCTACAATCGCAAAGTGGCGAAATATCGTTTTACGCGAAATACAAAGTGCAATTTTTCAGGACACTTTTCTATCGCTACAATGATACATAAATTTTGCGAGAACACGCTGCATAATAACAAAGTCATTTCTCTATCTTTTAATAGGTCGTATCCGATATCGATAACTCTGCTGCAATAACTTATCGTAACTCTATTGCCGTCCCTCTCTGGCGCACGTTTTTGTTTTTTATGAGTTATGTACATATATATTATCTGTATATACGAATATGTACGAATCATGTATTTTATAGATACATATATATATCTTGATAAATAAATATGATAACAATATAAAAGTAATCGATATGTAAACAAATTACTATACATACACTGGATAAAAAATCTGGTTGTATTAATAGGAATTCTGATTACAAATAGATAAATCAGAATTTTCTAGTTGAATCTATTAAGATTCTAGTTGAGGTAATTAGAATTTTAATTGATAGGATTACAATTTTCTGATTTATTTTCAACCAGAAATTTTTCTCAATGTATATATATATATATATATATACGTATTATAAATTATATATATATAATACATATACTGGAAAAAGAGTCTGATTGTATTAATAGAAATTCTGGTTAAAAATAGACAAATCA